GGTGTTAGCCGATTGGGTGAATTTGCTAAAATATAGTGTAAGACAAGGCATTACTCTTTGAATCGATTGATCATCGGGATGGGTTATACCCGCTTCTTTGGAAGACTTGGCTGAATGTTCAGAAGGGACGGGTTTGGAGCTTGATCAGGAGAAGTTTCCCTTGCAAGTTCGTCTAAGATTTCATCTATAAAGTAAATGATAATGAGCATAAGGGATAGATGTTATTTAAAAAGAAAAAAGAAGAAAAAAAGAGAATTGGTTGAACGATGTTACCTATAGTCTCATCAGATTTATGAGTCTTTGAACCTTGACTTCATGAGTCTCCGAAGCTTCAATTGTTATGGATTTCTTCATTTTCGGTAGAAACTTCAGGAGTTGGTTTCACAATTACTTTGAGGTGCTTTGCCTAGTCCGGGAATTTCGACTTGTGGTTGCAATGGAAATAATGAATATAGAGGTGGTCGGGGTTTATCGCTAAGTGGGGTTGTTAAACGATAGAGGATAAAAGGTTCATACCTTAAGAGATGATTTGGCTTTCTTGGTCCTTGGTTTCTTGGGTAAGAGAAAACTTTCAGGTGTTTTCCTTTTGCTTTTTCCTCTTGAAGATGCAAAGAAATGAAGTAGCGGGAGTTCTCATGAGTACCTTTAGAGGTATTGAATCTGAAGTTGCTTGAGGAATTTTCATGAATTCCTTTAATTTTGGAGCATCATCAACCCCAGGCGGTGCTTGGGGACCACCCGAATAGTCTTTGGATTGCTTTGGCATGGGGAGTAGACTCAAGATCCTATGCATAACCAGATGTTAAAATAAGAAGTGAATTCAAGAGCAGGAAATGGTGAGCCTAATGAAGTTACCTCACTATCAGAAGCAAAATCGGGCTGCAAGTTTTTGCATAAAGGATGAACTGATATATTGAAGATATGAGCATGCCATTCTTGCCACCAAGAGACAAAGAAGGGATGAGCAACATCTATTAGCCCAAATGGAGATGGTTCATATGTTGGCAATTCCCATCCTAATTCAAAGATTTTCTTGGCTTCCATTCTTTCTGTTATTACTTCCCTTGGCTTTATGATTGTTGAGAAGAGGAATCTTGGAGGCGGTGGCCACATCCTAATTGTCCGCCACCATATTTGGATAGTAGAATTCATAGGTGTACCGCACTAACCTCCCATGATGAAATTAATTTGGCGAGTGCAAGGTTTGATAAAGGAGTTGAAGATCTTCGTGGATTCTTGACTTGAACAACCAATTTCATAGCTAAACTTGCGGTGGCAAAGTCAAATTTTCATTTTCTCTCGTAAGGGAACCAGAGCACACACATCAATTCTTTGAAAAACAAAGCTTGAAGAAATGATCAATGTCTATGTCAATGTTTGATAGATGATCTTCGCTTCTCCATAAGTCCGACAAGCCTTAACCTTTCTTTGTCTTGCTTCAAAGATAGTTAAGCGAAGGAAAACTTAGATTGAAGAGGCTCACAGAGGTTATCTCGATGCATGTATATTTGGAGCCACATCTGAATTAGCCACCGGGACCATTCACACAAGAGATTTCTCCACCTTGTCGCATCGAAGAGTAATCGATGCATCATATGATAAGCAGACCCCAAAAGATATTTGCCTAGTGGGATCTCGAAAGTGTGCAGAGCTAAATCTTCACCATCACCATATGATTCAGAGTTGGTTCATTGGATTTTCCACAGAAGATGAATCTGCATAGCCACATGTTCATGAAGGCTTTCAACTCTTTGTCAGAAATGATGCCAGATGCATTCATGTAGTTCTGGATGTATTTGACCCATCCACATCCAGAGCTGACGGCTCTTTGATTACTTTTGCTCTTGTACTTCTAAGGGTATACTGGTAGTGACACGTTCAAGCCAGTCATCATGAACACATCGGCTAGAGTGATGGTCATCATACCATGGCCGAAGATGAAGGCATTAATGGTGTCAGACAAAAAATGGGAAGCTGCTATCAAAAGGGAATCATTTCTGGGTGTTTCTGCTAAGGATAATTCTAGACAATGACTGATGTCTTGACTTTCCCAGTGGCTGCTGCTTTTCTCCAACATTCTCCTGTACCAATTCCGCCATCCAGCGATTGGGGGAAATGGCCAATTCTTGAACGTGTTTGGCCATCGGTTTGGCAAGGTGATCCTAGATTTGAAAGGGATTCTTTGGGTTTCCTTCTCGATAATTTCAAAAGGGTCAGGATTTCCCATTGGGCCGAGGAAATAGGAATCAGGGTTGGCAGCATAAGGGGTCAAAATCTGATTCTTGTATTCCTGTAAAGGGTGATTGAAATCAAAGAGGAATAAGCCAAAAGAAGAACGGGAAAATCAAGTGGAAATTGCCGAATATAAGTGAAGTTTACCCGGAATTTCATCACGGTCGCCATTGAAGATTCAAGTGGGTCCGAGGTTGTCTTTGAAAGCTTGAATTTTTTTGAATTGCGGTGTTGAACGGTGCTTGACCTAGGAGGAGAAGGAGCTTGTGGTCAATTTTAGAATAAAACAACTTTTATCCCGAAATTGAGAGGGCATGTGTTAACTCTTTGGATTTTGGTCGACTTGAGGAAGATGACAGTGGACCCGCATACATGAGGAAGAAGGACATTCGGCAAACAAAATGAGCGGTCGGCTAAATGCTTGTGCGGTTGGTTACTTTGTAAGGTGGTGACTCCATTTGGGAAAGCAGAAGATGGCAGGCAAAGCCGATCGAAAAGATGAAAGTTGTAATAATAAAGGACTCGAGAGTTTAGGGCAAGGAATCATAGTTTCCAAGTTTGTTTAAGAGTTCCTTTGTAAATCGTAGTCTTTTAGGACTCGTGTTTTGTCTAGGATATAAATATTGACCCTCGACCATTGTAATAGGCGTTCACAACCAAATCAATACAACCGCCCCGTGCCAACTTTCGAGTCATTTTGTCGTGGTCGTCGAGTTCTTCGAGAGGAGTCATCGATCCATCGACCTCCGTAAGTTCCGACAACCTTGTTATCATGTTTAGTATCATGCGGTGGATTTAGACGTGATGCAAGTAGTCTTGTTTGTTTTCAATGATCGTATGCGGCGGATCTTTGCTTGACAATCAAGAAGTCTTTGCTTATGCTTTGTTTATGAGTAGATACCGTATGCGTGCAAAGCGTTTGCTCAATATGCTTAGTGAAGGCAAGGCAGTTATCGGCTCTATTAGATACGGCAAAATCTAAATAGATTCATTAAGTTATCTGTGTTGCATGTTTTAAATATTTTATATATTTGTAACACATACGCCCAATCTAGATTGATATTGTTCGCCCTCTCTTATGGTTTTATTCGTGCTTCAATGATCATTACTTTTCGTATTACCTTTGCAAATAGATAACATGCTCGTAATGGCTGAATTATTTTAATCTAGATTGTCACATGTCGTGGGTTCATGCATGTTAATTACGTTTAAGCTTTGACGAAACCGGTGTCGTATGCGGCAATGCAGGTTTTAGATTAGTTTAATCGTGTTTATTTGCACGTTCCTTCTTCATGGACCCTAACTCTATTTGGATTGTTGAGCTTGGTTATGCATTAACTCATGATTAATTTCACTTGTTCAAACATGTCTTCCCATGCACATGCATTCGCAATCGGATCTTTACGTGTGATCATCTTACGATTAGCCGAATGGTTTATAATAAACTGTCGCGAGATAGCTTCCTATAGTCGTATGTCGTTGTAGTGGCTTCGAGGTCGTATATATGGAATCGCTCTGGTCTCACCCGACATGTTCCGGTTTGGCATTTAACTGTTTTATCCCTTGTTAGTTTTTTTAGGTCAAACTGACTGGCACGTTTCCGGATCACGAAGCACCCGGGCACCCAATTGAAGCCACGCTTTCCGGCTTGCTGTGTGTGGGGCACAGTGCGTCACATTTTGTGTCAACACATTCATCCATACATTGTCACCTCATTACACCATACATCAGTACAGATCCTAATGCGATGGTTTACACGGCGGCGGCGGCGGCGATGACAGGCGGGCATTGCACGGAGTAGAGAAAGACGGGGGAGGGAGGGAGAGTGGAGTGGGCCGAGCCGCACCGAGGAGGATAAAGACGCCAGGGACAGAGGAGGTCTTTTTTATCCAAGGCTGCTGACTCGGATTCGAGCTGAACAGTAGAGCTGACGTGCCACGTAAACAAAAATTTACGCTTTTAGCAGCAGAGAGAGAAAAACGATACATATTTATTATTTTTATTTACGTGGCACGTCAGCTCTACTGTTCAGCTCGAATCTGAGTCAGCAGCCTTGGGTAAAAAAGACCTCTACCCCTAGCGTCTTTATCCTCCTCGGTGCGGCTCGGCCCACTCCACTCTCCCTCCCTCCCCCGTCTTTCTCTACTTCGTGCAATGCCCGCCCGTCATCGCCGCCGCCGCCGCCGTGTAAACTATCACATTAGGATTTGTACTGATGTATGGTGTAATGAAGTGACAATGTATGGATGAATGAAAATACAAAATGTGCTTGAATGGAAATAAAATTTCTGGTTGAATGTGTCTGTGTTCAGTGCCAGATTTTAGGCATATCAAAATATAGCAGTAGTACACAAACCATTAACCATAACTCATCATACAAAGTAACCAGCTAGCATGAACCAAATAAGCTCAAACACATTGATCAGATGAAACACATTCATTAGATGACATTAACCAGTAGCACTAAATCCAGTGACATGAAACACACAAAGTTTTGCTACACACATTGTTCTGGCCACACACTGAGCTAGCCACATACATTATTTTTGACCACATACATATCCATGTTATGGCCAACAAAAGGCCTTAGTTACACAAAAGAGATAATGTTTAGGTCTTTACAACCAAAATGAATTTGTCCTTGATGGTACTCTCATTTTTTCTTTTTGTTGGCTGGGCTCTTCCTAACCTTTGTAGCTAGCTGCTTCTTAGAGTCATTTTCTTAAGTGGTGGGTCCACAGATGCACTTGTTGTTTCATCTACCTCATTCACAACTTGTAGATCCAGTAGAGATTTCTGTTGAATGCAAGACATGTTATCAGAATGGCAATAGTAAGTTTGGGCCAAGCATATATTTTGAAGTAGGGCATACCTTCTGGTTGCTGCAGTGGTTGAAGGTGGTGCATGCTCAACCTCAATTGGCGCCACATCTAGGACTTCTCTCTCTGCAGCAGCTACAGCTTCAGCTGCTGCAGAAGCTTTAGCTACAGCTTCTAGAGCCTCCCTTGCTGCCTTAGCTACTGCTTCTTTAGCTATTGCTGTCCTTGTTCTTGGTGTATTTCCTCCACTGGGGGTAGGATCTGTCTTGCTCTTCTTCCTTCTAAGTTTAAGGGCTGACTTTTTAGTTCTTTTCCTGTAATGTAGTTGTTAGAGTCAGTGGTTAACAGTTAGAATTGTAGCTAATAGTAGGGGTAGTACATTACCTTTTTTTGGTGTCAGCCAGTGAACACCTCTAGCTTTCAGACCTGTGGCCATAGTCACCACATCCAAGGCATTTGACATGTCTTGTTGCTTTACCACTTCTCTCAGACGAAGCCAGATGCCTTTTCTTCTTCTGTCTGCCTGGGTCTCTCTTCTTTATATTTGGTGGGAATAACTTGAAGCCCTTATCCACCTCTGGCCATTGTCCTCTATTTGTTATGCTGGGAATGATCTCACGGTATGTAGTCTAGAACTTCTTAACTGAGTAGTTGTGCACATACATATCCATATTGGGTTGCCTTAGGGTTGCGATTACAACCAGTGGGCAAGGTTTTCCAGTCACTTGCCACTCTTTAAAAGTACATATATGTTGTGTTGGATACACAACATGTCTCCTAACCTCCTCATCTTTGTAGATCACAGTCACTTCTGCTTCATCTGGGTGCCCTTTAGTCACTTTCAGATGGCCTAAACCCTAGAGGCTGCATTGAGCTGATGGATAACTGTAGGTAGAATTCCAGGAGACATAGCATTAGCTATCTTCCTCCTCTTTGCAAAAAGAGTGAGTGCCTTCTCTCTAATAGCATTAGCCAAGCAGTGAACAGGTAGATCCTTGTGCTCCTTGATCCAAGCATTTCAACTCTCAACCAGATTATTATTAATGTAGTCACATTTAATATCTGGACTAAACTTGCTCATTGCCCACAACAGGTTGTGATGTTGTTTGAGCCAGTGAAGCACATCTGGACTAGTGTCGGGGACCAATACTAGGGTACTCGAAGAGGAGGAGCTAATGACCAACAACGTTGATTCGTCCGCACGATCAAGAGCGCGACTACACCGCTTGCCGGGTCCCACCTCGTTCGGCCACTGAGGCCATGGGCCCTGCCTCGTCTGACCTCTGAGGGTTGGCTCCGCCTCGGTGGGCATTGTGGATGTGGGCCCCATCTCACTCGACCCTTGAGGGTCGGATCTGCCTTAGCTGACTCACGAGGGCTGGCTCTGCCTCATCCAACGTCCAAGGGCTGGCTCCGCCTCGCCCGATGTCTAAGGGTTGGGTTCGCCTCGCCCGACCCCCGAGGGCTGGCTCTGCCTCGCCCGACGTCTGAGGGTTGGCTCCGCCTCGCTCGACGTCTGAGGGCTGGGTCCGCCTTGCCCAACCCTCGAGGGTTGGCTCCGTCTCGCCCGGCGTCTGAGGGCTAGGTCCACCTCGCTTGACCCCCAAGGGCTAGCTCCGCCTCACCTGACGTCTGAGGGTTGGCCTCGCCTCGCCCGACGTCTGAGGGCTGGCTCCACCTCGCTCGACGTCTGCGCATGACTCCTTTATAATGACACGCAGATAAGGCAGGGCACTCAAGTCAACCGCAATACCGAGGACCGTACCCTGCATACCTGTAGGAAAGTACCGTCAGGCCATGACAGAAGGGCGCTTTGTGACCTTCCAGGCATGTTAGAGTCTAAACAGTGTTGTAGGCAATGACATTTGCCTTACAGTGTTGTGGGTGCCATCATTTGCCCTCGGGCATGGATCCTTATGGAAGCTCCTGGCAACCACTACGGTCCAGAAGGAAACTCGCATCACCCATAGTAATGGACGTATGATCACTGTGATGTATGCTCCCTATATAGTCGTTGATCAGCACCCTAGTCCGTCGCACCGCTCGTTGAGGTAGGATTGGACGTGACAACCCGCTAACAATGCCAGGACATGGCATCGTCAGCAGATAGACGCCCAACGCGGCCCTGTCAAGGTCAGCAGACATGCGCCCGGTGTGGGGCTGTCCCTGTCACCGTTTGCCATGTCAGTAGGGCCCGCACAGAGGAAAAGGAAGACTCGGCGTCCTTGAAGGACTTTCTTTGCCTCTCATTTTTCTCTTCTTTCCCATCTGTAATCCTTGCTCTCTCTTGGCCTATAAAAGGGAAAGTAGGGCACCCCACTAAGGGGATCGATTGACTGCATCGCACATCACACCACATCATAGCAGAACCACTAGCATCGAACCTCGAACACATAGCTGAGCAGCGACCTAGCTCTCGGCACCCATTCGATCTTTTCATCAGAGACTTCAGACATGTCCCTCTCTCACCCGTTTATAACCCCTACTATGAACTTTTTAGTATTAATAACACGAGCAATAGCCACGAACTGGATGTAGGGACATTCTGCTCGAACCAGTATAAACCTCATGTCTTTTTCAGCACACCATCTGGGCCAGATGGTAATAACACAAATTTACTCGTTGGTATTTACTCGAAACATCGACAGTTGGCGGGCCAGGTAGGGGCTTTGCGCGTCCCGACATTAACATCAGGCCACAGATGGCTAGTCACGGCATCAGCTAGGTCCTAGGCGCACACGTGTGCTTTAGGGACCTAGACTTCATCGTCATGGCGGAGGGAGAGCTGACGCGGGCGCCCGTCGTCATTCAGCCCTTCCACTCCATCGGCCTCGGCGCAATCATCGAGAGGCTTGAGGAGCTACGGCCGCATGAGCTGAAGGCCCGTGCCCCTAGAAGCGGCCAACTCCTCAACTTCGACTACGGAAGGTTGGAGCGTCAGCTCGGCATCTTCCTAGGACCCCAACCGTCCTAGGAGGACCTGCACCACCTCGCCTTCTCGTTTGCTAACGTCATGACATAGCTTACTAGAGGAGAGCCACTCTCCCCAGAATGCCTCATCCGAAGTGTCCTGACAGTGCTCCCGTTCGGTCTCTACAACGCCGCAGAGACCGTTGGCCACCTTGTGGGCAGCGCATGATCCCATCCCCCATGAACGATGAGTTCATAGGGGTAATCGAACACATCACAGAGTCTTTCCACGATCTCCTCGTAGAGGAGCCAGAGTCGCCCTCTGGCTTTGACTCCAACAGGAGGAGCCATCACCCCTCTCGTGAATGCTTCATGACAGGTACCCCCAAGGGGCACGTCGATAGCATCCATGAGGAAGAGGCTACCCCAACGAACGACCTTGATGATGAGGCCGAGGGGGAGACGATGGCCCCACCTCGCATTCAGGTGGAGCAGCTGAAAGCCCGACACCAAGAGCTCGAGGAAGCGCGACTCCAGCTCGAGCAGGAATGCTCCGAGCTCGATCGGGAGATTGAGTGCCACGGAGATGATGGGCACGCATGTGCCATGGCCCGCGACATGAACTGGAGGATCATTGTCGATGATGAAGCCCTCCCTCGCTTCGCCTAGGCGAGCCAAAACATCGCTGCTGTGGCAGCCTTATTTCGTGGTCTTCCAGAGGCTGTGACACCCGAGGATCATCGGGCCCACCACAAAATTCTCACGCTGCTCGAGCGTGCGGCGGCGCAACAGGCCGAGAGCTCATTGTTTCGGTGATGCGAGTTCACCACCAGCCAACACACGCCCTCAGAGCACCACGATAGGGACGCGTTGGTCCACCAGGTGCCACAAGGCGGTCCCGGTGCGTCAGCGTCTCGGTCACAACCATGACACATGCAACAACCTCGATGCCCACAGACGTGCCTACGACGACCCGAGAGAGGGAGCTAGCCATGGCTATCACCCTCGTCATGGAGGATGCTACGACAGTGGCGAGAACCAAAGCCCGAGCCCTAGCCTCCTAGGGCCTCAGGCCTTCGGCCGACACATCCTCAACGCTGCCTGGGGCCTTGATTTGGTTCGAGCTCTCAAAAAGCGCCCGAGGGCTACACTCACTTGCTTATCACCGTAGACAAGTTTACAAAGTGGATAGAAGCTCAACCAATCTCCATGATCAAATCTGAGCAGGACATGCTGTTCTTCCTCAACATCGTCCATCGCTTCGGAGTCCTGAACTCCATCATCACAGACAATGGCACACAGTTCACTGGGAAGAAGTTCCTCCGATTTTGCGATGAATATCACATCCGCATCGACTGGGCCTCCGTAGCGCACCCCCCGAAAGAACAGGCAGGTAGAACGCACAAATGGCATGGTCCTATAGGGCCTCAAGCCTAGGATCTTCAACCGGTTTTACAAATTTGGCGCAAGATAGGTCGCTGAGCTTCCCACGGTGCTCTGGAGTCTGAGAACGACCCCCAGCCAGGCCACTGGCTACACGCCATTCTTCATGGTCTATGATTCCAAAGCTGTCCTCCCAACCGACCTCGACTATGGAGCACCAAGGGTTAGGGCGTACGATAAACAAGGAGCCGAGGCATCCCTCGAGGATGCCATGGATTAGCTGGACGAAGCGCGTGATGTTGCCCTCCTTCGCTCGGCCAAGTACCAGCAGGCATTACGATGATACCACAGTCATCGAGTGATAGGTCGGGCCTTCAGCATCGAAGACCTAGTTCTCCGCCTCGTCCAAAGCAACAAGGACCGCCACAAGCTCTCCCCGCCATGGGAGGGACCATACGTCGTCATGGAGGTGCTCCGGCCAGGTGCCTACAAGCTGAAGACCATCAACGACGAGGTCTTCGCCAATGCCTAGATCATCGAGCAGCTATGTCGCTTTTACCCTTAATAAACACACACTTTCTCTTATCAGTTTTATTGTCAAACTCCCTGATCTTTTAGGACATCCGACCCCAGCAACGGTAAAGGGTTAGGCCTCACTTGGGGGCTGATATGAGTACATTTATCCATCAAACATTCTCTGTGCCTGCCCCCCTTTTCACGTTAAGACCTAAGAGCTAGGTTTACGGGAACGAGCTCTGAGTATAACTGGTCGGACTGTGGGAAACATATGCCCTAGCGGCTACGGTGTCTTTGCTCACCAGTGTAATTAGAATTGGCCCACCCGCACTCCGAGCTTTTATGACCTGAACGACGGAAAAGGTCAGAGTGCGCTAAAAATTTTATACAAAAAGGCGAGAAGAGCTAAAAAGTTGTTTGCTATAATGAAATATGAAAACCTGTCCATTTGTTATAAGTTTCTCTACCTAACTAAATTCTTGCGTGGTATGTTCTCATCCTTTATCTTCACAGGAAATCTTGTCTCAGCAGATAACACAAGTCGACTCGATGGCTTGGCCACCGCCGAGAAACGGGTAGGGAGCAGACATGGATCCTGCTCATCTCTGGTGGAGGCTTCCTGGAACCATCACTCTTACCATCAAGGTAAAACTGGTGCCTAGGTCGATCGAACGGCTCAAAGCCACTGCCGAGAGACAAGCACCTTTACTTTACGCATTAATTTCGCTACCAAGCCTCTGACCCCAGCAACGGCAAGGGGTCGGACATCGCTCGGGGCTGCCGAGAGTGTCTATCCGGTAGACATTCTCTATGACTGACCCCTCCTTACATTAAAAATTGGAGGCAGGGTGTGCGGACATAA